GACAGTGTGGACAGGGTTACCTGCGGCCTCTACATAAACATTACATTGTACGATTACGTGCGTACAATCATTAATCTAACACGCAGTAACACTACTTGGTGCTTGGTAAGACACAAAGACAGCCCTTGCCTCGACAACATTGCTAATCTCCCAAGGATCCACGAGTGAACATGCGTGACAACGCCACCCCAGAGGCCGCAGCGAGTGGAACAGGCAATCAATGCTCGGTTGAGTTCAATCTGGCCTACCGATGGCATTCTTGCATCGGACAACAAGACGAAAGGTGGACAGAAGGGATATACCAGGAATTGTTTGGAAAACCTGCTGGAGAAGTCTCGATGCCTGATCTCCTGATGGGGATGAAGAAATGGCAGACCGAATTACCCAAAGACCCGTCTCACAGATCCTTTGCAGGTTTGAAACGTGGCTCTGATGGCCGATTCAACGATGACGACCTTGTGAAGATTATGACCGAAAGCACTGAAGAAATTGCCGGTACGTTCATCACCATCCTCCCCGATCAGGTTGTTCATTGTAATAACCCTTTTCTAGGTTCTTTCGGTCCGCGCAATGTTCCAAAAGCACTACGAGCGGTTGAAATTCTCGGCATTCAACAGGCACGTAAGTGGGGATGTGGCTCCCTCAATGAATTCCGGAAATTCTTCGGGCTTAAGGAGTACACGACCTTCGAAGAAATTAATTCGGATCCTTACATTGCGGATCAACTTCGTCATTTATATGAACACCCCGATCACGTTGAACTATACCCTGGTATCGTTGCCGAGGAGCCTAAAATTCCAATGGTCCCTGGTGCAGGAATTTGCCCCACGTATACGCTGTCTCGAGCCATTCTCTCGGACGCGGTTGCGTTGGTTCGAGGGGACAGGTTCTATACCGTATGGGTTTTCCCTTTTACCCGCGAGAGAGGATTTTATAATCTAATTTGAAAGAATGCTGAGCGTTGCTAATTTGATCATTATAGACCGATTACCATCCCAAGAGTCTCACCAACTGGGGCTATTCTGAAACACACTATGATCTGAACATCAATCAAGGCTGTGTATTTTATAAACTCATTCTCAGATCCTTCCCTAACCACTTTAAGCCAGATTCAATCTATGCCCATTATCCAATGACAATCCCCAGCGAGAACAAGGAAATATTTGCAGGATTGGGCAGAGAATCCCATTTCTCATGGGAAAAGCCGGCCTTCATTCCCCCCCGTGTCAACTTGACATCATATCTTGGGGCTAAGACCATTCTAGATAATGCGAAAGATTTTCGAGTAACGTGGGGTGAAGCCACTGGCTTCTTATTCGGTACAGGAGGGTTAAACTTCATGCTTTCTGGAGATTCTCCCAAACATGCGAAGCAAAGACAACTGATGGGTAAAGCGCTTTACCATGAAGAATGGAAGAAACAGGTGAAGCAATTTTATGAGGATATCACTATTAAGCTCCTAAGGCAGAAATCCTACAAGGTTGCAGGAGTGAACCAGGTTGATATCACCAGAGAGTGAGTCCACAACCGGAAGATATCACTTTCCCGAGCTAACCATGCCTACAGTGTTGGTAATCTTGCACATGTCCATTTCGCCTCGAATATCTTCTCCCTTCCGCTGAAAACTGAAAAGAATCCTAGAGGTATATACACCGAGCATGAAATGTTCATGGTTATGTGTGTCGTTTTCACATGTATCTTCTTTGATCTTGATCCCGCAAAGTCTTTCCCTCTCCGGCAAGCAGCCCGAGTAGTTGCGCAACAATTAGGGAAAATTGTCGAAGGCTATGTCAAGAGTGTGAAAGCTACTAGCATAATTTCCGGAATTGTGGATCGGTTCCGGAAGAATGAGACTGCACTGAAGGACTACGGGATTCACATGATTCGAAGGTTGCTAGCAAGTGGCCAGAGTGTATCTGAGGTAACTTGGTCCCAAGTTATGCCAACTGCTGGAGCAATGGTTCCGAACCAGGCACAAGTGGTAAGTGTCTACAGCTGCCCAGCTTTCATGCCCAGATCTCAAAATAAAAGCTCACCTTTTCTATCTTTGGGTTACCTAGTTCACTCAAATAATAGACTACTACCTTTCTGAAGAAGGGCGCATCCACCTTCCGGAAATTCAGCGCCTTGCTCAGCAAGACACCCCGGAATCTGATGACAAGCTCCTTCACTACTGCATGGAGGCCATCCGTTTAAATGGCACGTTCGGCTCATATCGAGAAGCCACAACTGCGATGGAAATTGATGACGATGGTCGACATGTCTCAATAAAGCCGGGCGATAAAGTTTTCGTGAGCTTCGTTTCGGCGAACCGGGACCCAGATATTTTCCCAAATCCAAATGAAGTTCGCCTTGACAGACCGTTAGACTCCTACATTCACTACGGTGAAGGGCCCCATACTTGTTTGGGTAGAGATGCAAACATGGTGGCTCTCACCTCCATGCTTCGTGTGATCGGAAAACTGAAGAACTTGCGTCGAGCGCCAGGCCCTCAAGGGGAACTAAAGAAGGTCCCTAGACCAGGTGGATTCTACATTTACATGCGTGAGGATCATGGCAGTTATTTTGTATTCCCGATGAGTAAGTTTCCTATATTGAGTGAACGGCATGTATGTTTGCGCTAACGAATTACAGCCTTCAAAGTGCACTTTGATGGAGAGCTACCTGAGCCACACAGCAGGCCAGCTTAAATAGCCTTTCCATCCTACCCTCAGCAATAGCACTCATTTCTCGGCTCCCATATACTCCCTTCAATTTTTGGCTTTTTATGTATAGTTGTCTTTTGCATGATGGGTTCGGGTTACGTTGAATACCACATGCGCTATCAAATATATATAATAATAATTGATAACTTTTCTCCCTACTCCCAACAGGCTCTTGAGACGGTTTTAAAACATGCTTGACAATACATCAAGTTACAGCACAATATGGAGGCTCTTTGTGTTTATTGGCGCCGCCGCCCTTCTAAATATATGCCATATTTTGTCCAAGCACCGAGACCTTCCATTTCAAGTATACAAAGCATTTATACGGAACAACTGGAACAGACCTTTGACAGTGAGAATCATGCTCTTCCACCTGCAGCATATGTTGATGTTTTCCATCTTCCAGTCGACAAGGCCGTGAAGAACAGAAATTCCCTCTCCAGCTGAGAAACTCGACAGTCTCTCCACCCGGCTGCAGGCATGGGGAGATGGTGGCATCGGCTGGGTATTTCCAATCGATCACCAACGCTAGGCATAACCTCGTGATATTTGCATATAACAGGCTCTTGTTAGGCTGCGGAGGAATAAAAGCGGTTGTAAAGGTAGATTGGGGGCTAAATCTCTCACCAACCCAAGCATGGTTCCTATCCGCTGCCACTCTGCGGACATGCGATGCTAGTATCTCCGAAAATCATTATCCTTCGTCTCCATCAACATTGCTGCATGCGGCGTACCCGAGATGACAACCTCCTCACCCGGAACAATACCCGTGTTTCCCATTGCTCTGGGAGCAGATAGTACATTTTATTCCTGTTTTATTGGTTTGTGAGAACCAACATTAAGTTCCTACTAACAGTTCAAAGCAAAAGAAACCAATTCACTCTTGAGACAGTATGTTTGAAATGAATTTTTGTGTTTTTTCTCGTCTTTTTCTAGGCGAGTGGACTGGATAGGAATGAGCCAAACCACAGGTTGAATTCTAATTCTTGTACTTGTTCAACACAAAGGTGTAAAAAATAATATACAAATGAAAAGTGCTGTGCAAAAGGTAATAAAAGGGGGACTGAAATTAATATAAATACTGCAGACCATGCAACTGAGCTTTTAACTAACTTAACAGCCAAGCATATATGGAGTACTCTGTATAACTCTGTACTGTACTCCGTACTCCGTACGGAGTATGGAGTATTCCGTATTGGTTACGGGTTAAGCTGGACAGGTCCTGAAACTCAACTCGATCTTGGCACGTTTCTTCCCGGCCAACAACCGACAAGTTTAAAAATAGTTACCGCGTACTCCATTCGCCGTGGAGGGTAATAATATCTGTCAGCGTCTGCGTCGACTCGCAGCAACTCACGCCCACTCTTCCCATTACTTTAGATTACTAGCGATTTGAATGCACTCGCCATGGCCCCCAAAGCCATCAAGGGTGAATATATAGAAACTGTGCGTTATATTCCGTTCTGTCACGCCGTTCAACCACGGAACGCTTCGGGAGCTATATCGAAGCTGATCACATATACCCTCCATAGGATACTGGTAACAAGGTCTCCCGTCGCAACCAAGTCCACGGCACGCAACACATCATTCTTGGAGGCAAAACCGTCATCCAAGCCGACGTCTGCATACGCGGTGACCTCTACCGTCAACAACCACCAACACCCTCTTCTCCCAGCACCGCCACCAGCGGCGGTTCCGGTAGCAACCAAAACACACCATCTATCGCTGTCAGCATCGGACGCTATACCTACCTCTCGCGCTCCTGTCTGCTACGACCACCCTCTCGCCTCCATCGAGGCGTGCACTCATACTACCCTCTCAAGATCGGAGACCACGTGTTCGTCGGAGAGCGTAGCGTGATCGAAGCAGCTACAATTGGAAACCATGTGCACGTCGGAAAGGATGCTGTGGTGGGCTGCATGGCAATTCTAAAGGATTTCGTGGTAGTCCTTGACGGCGCGGTGGTCCCGGCTGGAATGGTGGTTCCGAGCTTCTGCGTGGTCGGTGGAGCGCCAGCGAGGGTTGTCGGTGAAGTAGGTGAGGGCTTTGGTATTGAGGGTGCCGAGGGGGGCATGGCAAGAGAGAGGTACCGGATGGTTGGGCGGTAAGAAGCTTTGACATTGTGGATTTCCGGAGTATGGTCAATTGATTTCATGATACCCCTTATGCTGTCTGGGAGTTGTGATTTGGACAATACGTTTAACTGTGATAATACATGAACAGTTTGCCTCAGGCAGTATTTGTGCAGTCCTTGATTTTGTCCCACTAGGTGTGTGTCTTTCTCTTCTGTTTTTTAAAAAGAAAATGAAGAAAACCCTGTGTCAGGAGGGTATATTACAAAATAATAAAGAGGATATAAGGTCAGGAAGTTTATAGAACGAATACACCAGAACAAGAAGGGATATCATCTAACATGAAGGATTCCTTGCAAAGAGCAAAAGAAATCAGTGAAACAAGGCTGCAAATCATAAGGCTTCCAGGGAAAACTCAAAAGTGCATATGCATATGTCACATCAGCCATCATTATTACGAAATAGCCCAACATGAACAAGAGTAAAAAAACAAAAAGGAAAGAAAGAAAGAAAGAAAAAAGAAAATGGAGTCGAAAGGGCGTAGCGTGGGCATGTTCATCCTGTAAAGCCGAGTGTTAGAAAAGGGAAAGCAGACGATCAATTGCGCAGTGAGGGACGGGGATCTGGTGAGCTGGCGGAGTTATTATTTACCCTGTCTCTGCTGCTGGCTCTTGACATTGTTGGAGAGCCAAGCCTGGATGCCAGCGGTCAGCAAATGCATATTTTCCATGAGTCCAGCAGTTCTCTTACCAATCCCTCAAACAAGCCTTCGCCGGTCGTTGCGCAACTCGGCACGACGAACCATATCCTGTCTTTAAGTTGGTTCAACTGGAGTTTCTCGGTCACTTCCTTTGGATCCATGGCTTCGGAACATATCAGCATCGCTCCAAAACAGCCACAGAGGCTCAGGAGGATAGAGTCGGCTTACCGCCCTTGATGTCCTGCTTATTGGCAAAGACCAAAAGAAGAGCTTCTTTCATTTCACGGTCCAGAATGATTCGATGCAACTCCTGGCGGGCCTCCTCTATGCGGCTGCGATCGTTTGAATCAATCACAAAGATAAGTCCCTGGGTTCCGGTGAAATAGTGTCTCCACAGTGGCCTGATCTTGTCCTGGCCGCCAACGTCCCAGACGTTGAATTTGACATTCTTGTATGTCACGGACTCGACATTGAAGCCGACGGTGGGGATCGCGGTGACGTCCTGATTGAGTTTGAGTTTGTAGAGGATAGCTATTGCAAAAGTGTTAGTCCTCAGCCGGCGCGAGACAGATCAGAAGAGGCAGGCTCACTCGTCTTTCCGGCGGCATCGAGACCCAGCATGAGGAGTCGCATCTCCTTTGATCCGAAGATCTTTCCCATCAGTTTTGAGACCTGGCCTCCCATCTTGACGGCGAATCTCCGCCAACAATGAAAGATACACAATATTACCAATAGGGCGACCAAGACTGGAAAAGTACAGTCGAGACTGGGGGAGGCGCGGCGACGCAAGACTCGGTTGGCGGGGTTTTCAGGGGCAGGTGTCAGGACCGGGACGGGATGGTTGTGTATTTATTAGAGTCGTTATTCAGCAACACAGGCGGACTGGGAATCAATCAGCAAAACAAGCTTATATCGCGAACGTCCAGCGTGCAGAGAAAGTACTTTACGAATCAGTAATGTACAGAACAAGCAGGGCAATGGGCTTACCTCTGTGATCAAATATCAATGCCAACTTCAACGATCGGCTCGCGGGCAATGCGGTTGCGGTGCACGATGCGGGATTGGCCTTCAGTCTTCTCTCTTGTATCCTCAGTCTTGGGTCTTCCGTTTTCAGTCTTGACCTCTTCTTCGGTCTGTGTTTGTCAGTCGCCTGTGCCGCTCTCTCCTGTTTCGGGCGGCGTCCGTTTGCTTTTCCCAGAAACAGTCAGGCACCCCCACACGTGACTGGAAAGGGGGGATACATGCTGACTCATCCAGGGCATCCAATCAGAAGCACCACTCGGTCCCGCTGCGTGTGGAAACCGAATGGCCAATCAAAGCACGCTGCTGTCTTAGTCATGGCAGGCGGAATCTTAGTGCGCGATCGCGCCAAGAGCCTCTCATCCTCTCTCTCTCTCCAGATAATATATCTCCCCGGCCTTTAGAGGATATGGAGCAGTCAATATATCATTTAAGGCATTCTATCGGAGTAGTTACGGCTGTCCTGGCCAAAGGCTATCTGCCACCCGTCTCACCAGCTTGAGCTTGTTAACCATATCACCCCTATCAACGGCATTTCCGGAGCTGTGGCTGGCAAACCCACACTGTGGACTCAGTCCCACTCGGTCCAACGCCTCTTCCACAGACTCGCCGCTCCCCCTGGCCATAAACTCCGCTGCCTTTAACACTCGTCTTCTCATCTCCGCTTCTTCCTCCAGCTCAGGGAACTTGCTGGTTATCACCCCAACAATGACATTCTTACCCTTGGGCACATGCACCAAGGGCTCAAACCCCCCAGCCCGTGGAGTGTCGTACTCCAGATAGTACGTGTCCACGTTGAGCTTTTTAAACAGCCTCGTCGCGATTCTGTCATATCCCCCTTCCGAAAAGTGGCGGCTGTTGACGAAGTTGCCCCTACATATGTGAAGACCCACGTGCATGTCTGCCGGCCTCTTGCTTAGGCAGTCGTTGTAAAGCTCAATATAGGCATCCAACAGGTCGTCCGCACTGCCTTTGTTCAGTGGATCTGCTTTCCATCCTGCAAGCATGCTCTCGCTGCAGAAATCTACCCCTCCCAGAATGTCAATCTTCGGAGCGTAACTGCCAACCATTCGAGAGGAAACACTTACACGCGAGGTTAGGATCATCGATCTGCACATTCCTTAGCCCTGCGTCGTACAGAAGCTGCAATTCCGTTTGATACGCTTTGGCCACGTCTGCGAAGAACTCGTCGTCGGACGGATACACATGCTTTGGATATGCACGACCCTCCTTGTATCGTAGATGATACCAATTTGGCGCCGGCAAGGTAAGCTTGAGGCTCTTAACGTCGTCGGCTGGGACAAGGCTTTTGAGATAGCCCAGCTCCTTCAAATATGTGCTCCCCACATGTTTGATCTTACCAGTGCAAATAACACTCTCTCCTGGCCTGTACCCTTTTTCCGTGAACGCAGCGACATCAGGAAGGTAGGGGCGAAAAATTTCAGGCTCAGGATTTTTCAGCTCCGTCATCCCTTCGAGGCCAGGCCAAAACGATCCCCAAAACACTATGGAACCGATTAGTGGAGCGGGGTACGATGGGATGCCTCGTCAAAGTAGGCGAGTTGGTTGATATGGTGAGAGCACAAGAAAGGTGAAAAATCACCATATAGTAAGGGTATGGTCAAGTAGTAAGTGTAGAGATAGATATGTTCTAACAGATGCCTAAGCTTGCAAGGAGTAATAGTACTAAAGAGCCCTGTACTAACACAGGCAGCTCTAATGAGAAACAGTAGCACATTTCATAAACAAGAAATCTTCATATTCTCTAACTAATAGCTGAACTGGTAGTAAGGAACAAGTGTATAGAAAAGAGCAATGGTGTGTGAAGGTAATAAGCAAGATGCAGGGGCTACAGATGGTTTATATAGCTCAAGAATAATAGCTTTAGAGTGATTTGTGCCTCAGACCAGAACAATCTTTGTTCTAATAAGATACTGGAATCCTCACTACATTTTCTTCTGGTCTTCAATGTTGGTGTCCCCTGACAACAAACAACATATAAAATAAAACAAAACTAATTTAGTAAAATAAGAGAATAATAAATAATAATGAGCAGTCTGGTAAGGAAAAACATAGAAAATAAGAATAAGAAGAGTGATAGCAGCAATCTCTAATAGTGATCATTATAATTCTCTTCTTCTATCAAGTTCTCAGGAGAAGGAGAAGGCTGAACTGACACTGGATTAATGTTGTTGTGCACACAATACCAATAGGATTTATTACCAAAAGCTTTCTTTTTAATTTGGTAAGTCTTGACAATAGCATCCAGAGCAATTCATATAGTCTTTAGATATCAGTTATTAATAAAGTCCTGAGTCTTTTTGTTATCAGGGCCAAAGAGAATATCAAGTTTCTCAATTATTATAGAGTTGTCCCATCTAATTCATTCTACCAGGGTATCTGATATAGCTCCTAAGCCTTGTAATTGAATAGCAGTAGAGAATTGATATGAAACTGATATGTAATGATTTGAATGGCCAGATAGAGATGAAGGCCCTGGAACTAGATCTCTATATGCAGCAGAGAGCTGGAACCATGTACCAGCTTTATTGACTTCTAGATATTCATGATTCTCTTGAATTGCCACATACCAGGGTAGCATAGTGTGTCAGATCTTTTTGCATGAACCATGGGCTCTATAGGATAGCAGAGGGCTTGTAATTTGGACATTGCCAGATTTGCAAATGATGTTGATCTATCTAATACCAAATTTTCTTTTGTTGTCTTTGATATATATTGTATCTTTAATGCAGTGAATATAGTCATTAGTAGATAAGCCTTGTTCTTTAACTAGTCTCCATCAATTCTCTAGATGATTATGCATTTCTGATAAGATTTCTGTACAGTCACTGGACTCTTCTGCAGTTAAGATCAAGGATTCTTGTATTATATTAATGCCCCTTCCAGTAGTAATAGCATCTGGAACATTGACATTAATATGGCAAAACCCAGTTTTATCCTCTGACTTAGCATACTTGGTGTAGTATAGATAGAAGATTAATTTCCAAGTATAGTTGGGTCTTGTCAGTATGTATTATAGATAGTACACAGGGTCCTGGTGCATAAGTTGTTGGCTGATACTGTAATATATTGTTCTTAACCATCTGTAATTATCATAACCTTCTATCATTCACTGATGATGGTAGTACATGTTGTATTTGCTGTTAACCCAGGTGAGTACTGTAGTAGTAGCATCTTGTAACTTATTGTTCCACCAGTGCATTAGCTAAGGAATGATAATAGACCCAGTTGTTTCCCATTTCTTCTGAAGATTGCTGGTGGTGAACTTGTTAACTCCAGTTATTCATATATATTGATTGAAGTTGAATGTTCTCATATTTGCAACCAGAGAAATAATTGACTGATGTTTGAATTTGTAAATGCCTAAAGCATCTTCAGCTCTAGCTGGTCTATTTGTCAAATGGAACCAGAGATAGATGCTGTCATTGATCTTGACTAAGCCAATGTTGCAACAATTTCTATAAATATAAGCCAAATGGTTGAGAAGCTTCTTTCTATTAAGTGTACAAGTCTGTAAACCAAGTTTTGAAGCCATTAGTTTAGCATGGTTATAGTATAGATAGATGTCAGCTTTCTTATTGCTAAAGACCTTTCCTAACTGCTCCAGGATGTGAATAAGCTCCAACTCTGAATATGTTTTTGTACTCTTTATCTTTTGGAGAAGCTGCTGTTTGAAACCATGACAATGGCAAGTATCAGAGTGTACTGTCATGACAGATTCTTCTTATTCATGTTGGGGTATTTCCTTGTCACTTTCAGAAGAAATAACAGACTCATCTTTGTTACCTAGATCTTGAAGAGTTTGGTGTGCTGACATGACTGTGATTCTTTCACTACAGTGCTTTGGAGCTTCTGATTGACTGAATGGATTGGCCAGCACACTGGTGAATCCAAATGGCAGCTGTAATTGGCCAGTTTCCAATCCATGCAATCTAATCAACATTGTACTATGTATAGAGGCTTCTGATACATTGCAGCTATGTGGCATCAACATCCCATCTATTGAAACATCTCTTGATGATCTTGATGACTGTGATTCTTCTAGTAGATCTTGGGAGCTGCTTGCAGTGGGAGGGCTTCTAGCAATATTCTGAATTGAATGTTGGGAGCTAGATAACTGTGGAAGAGCTAACAGCTGTAGAAGACTGTAGTTTCCAATAGTCAGTTCTTGTTGGTGTAGGGCATCTCTTGAAGAAAGTTTGCAAGTGTGATTAACTTCTTTGTCAGCTGTAGTATAATTGCCTGGCAATATAGCTAAGCTCTGGTGATATTCAGCTTCTGTAGCATCTAGTCTTCAGAGCACTGTGCTGTTAATATTATTGGCAAACTTATCCTAATTCTTGTAGACATTTAGAGTATGGTGAAGCTTTTGTGCAGCTCACAGGCTCTCTACTTTTGGCCATATGATATCAATCCTGTCTATCCCCCATGTAGTGACAAGTCTATTCTTGATCTTTTGCATATCAATGTGATGTTGTTCAACATCCAGGGTAACCTTTTGAACATCATGAAAATTGGCTTCAAAATTGGCATGTGTAACATGTTGCCAAGCTCTGGATCTTTCAACATATTGATAGAAATGGGCCACTAAGTCAGTGACTACATCAGTCACTCACATAAGTGTGTTTATCAGCTTGACTTGTAGACCATATCAACAGTATGGAGCTTGGTTATTAATGTATTCCATAGCTGCTGTTAGATTATTGAAGAAATGGTTATCCAAGTTGACTCCACTGTCTCTGGTAACAACCAGGCCTTGATTTTTGGTTGCTGGTGCTAAAGGAGGCAGGTTGCTTTGTCCAGCCATTTTTGAAGAATATCAGAGATCAAAAAATTTGCAAATGTCAGAATAACAGAATAGAAGAAAATGTTGAATCTGTAAAAAGAATCAAGCTTGAATGTAAAAGAAAGTAAAAGCTCCAGCAAAGAAAAATTGATCTTTAAATATCTTCAGAAAAAGTGAATGCTAAGCAAATAATAAAGAAAGAGAAACTTTCTGAAAGAGCAAGCAAAAACTTCACTTTACAGACAAATAAAAGAAACTTTCTGAATAAGCAAGCAAAAAACTTCACCTTTGCAAACAAAATACAACAAATTAAACATCTTGTGGAGGTATAACAACAGCAAAGCTTCAGTCATCTGATATAACAGTTGAAAATTATGTTTGCTCCATTTCTTCTTGATCATTTTTATTTTCACTCTGATTCAAGAAGCTAATATCTGAGAAACTGCTAGAGAGAATGTTAGATTGACTTCTGGTGGCATATCTTTGAGAGATGTTCTTTATCTCTACATCAGAATCTGCTGGGCTATCATTAAATAGCTTCATTTCAGGTTTCATAAGGTACTTCTTTAATCTGTTTCCTGCAATAGATCCTTTGAGTTCAGTGCTGTCTAACTCTTTAAGATGATAGACATCTAGTTCTTGATTAGCAGACTTAACTCTATAGGGTTCTAGCTATTAAAAGTGCAGGGTGTTATTCCTAGACATATTCTGTTCTTCTTTGGTATTGTGAAGCAAGACAAGGTCTCCAGGTAGAAGAGGGTTGATCTGAATATTATGAGTATCATTAAAGTATTTCTTATTTCTAGCACACATTTGAAGCTGATGATGAGCTGCTTCCAGAACATCCTCATCTTGTCTTTTAATTTGTTATGCTTGTATCAGAAGCAGGTCTTCAGTTATTCAAATCTTTTGCCAGAAAATTGTTTGTCAAGTAGGAATCTCAAGTTCAATCAGAAGAACTGCCTTCTGGCCTATTAGCAATCTATAAGAGAAGACACCAGTACTAGTCTTAGTCATCATTCAATCTGCCATCAGAATCACAGGAAGATGTTTAATTTAATCTCTTCCAGTGCCATTGGTAGCTTTAGCTAGCCCATCAGCCAAAGACTTATGGCCAACTTCCACCATACCATTCACAGGAGGGTTATAGAGCAAAATAACAATGCATTTAATGTTGAATTTCTTCAGTAAGATCTCCACAACATTCTTATTTTCTGGTCCTCCATTCATAACAAATTTGGCAGGCAGGCCCCATCAACAGATAATATTCTCATAAAGAAATTTGGCCACAGCTTCAGCTGTTACCTTTTTCAAGACTCTAGCTTCCACTCATCCAGTGAAGTCACATCTGACAACAACCAAATAATTTCATTCTTGACAGAAAGGCATGTGCTTGATATCCACCCTAACTTTCTCCCAACAGATAGAGATCCAGATAGGATGAAGCTCTTCACTTAATCTTTGCAAATCTCTTTGTTAATATTGAGAACAGTGCTTTACATAAGCAGACACATCTTTATACATCCCTGACCACCAGTATCAAGCTTGTAGAGTAGAGTATATTCCCTCTTGCTCTTTATAATCAAATTTGTCATGCATCATGTGTAAAATTTGTTCACACTGTTCTTTGTTGTCCACAACATGTCTTAGAGGCACACCAGAT